TGGGCGACCTCTCACGCTTGGGCCAGCTGAGGTCGCCCGGCGGGCGGTCCCCCTCAGCCCCCGCACCCGTGGCACCCGTGCTGGGGCGCTCGCCATGGCCGACACTGGGGCCCGGCGCCTCCCGCACGGTGTGGCCGCTCCGCCGGGCCTTCTCCACCACCGTCTTGGGTTTGCCGAAGGCGACGCGGCAAGCCTCGCAGTAGCTCACGTCGCACCCCTTACAGTGCCACCGCAGGGCTCCGCTGTTAGCTCCGCCCGCGGGGCACATCTCGCAACCCCAACCGTCTCCCGGGTCAAAGGAGCTCCAGCGCATCTTGAGTGCGCATGTCGGGCAGGCAGGCGGCTGGATGGTCGGGCCATCCTCCCCGTCGCTGCCTGGGTCAGGGCCGCGAGGCCGGCTCGCCCACTCCGTGACCACCGTGCACGGGTCCGTCTTGTAGAACCGATAGTTCGACCTCATGCACTCCCGCGCGCGCTTTGCGTCAGCGCGGCGCTGGAACTCCACCAGCACGCACGGCTCCCGCTTGTGGCGGTGGTCGTACAGGAAGGCGATGTGTTTGACGACCCCAAAGGGCACGACCACCTGCCTGACCACCTCGGCATCGACGTGGTGCGGTACCCGCTCGATGCGGATGATGGACTCGCCCTCGTCGTGCTGGTCACTGGGCTGCTGCTGGGCGCCCTGGCGCTGCTCCTCCTTGCGCCTACGGCGGCTCCTCGAGCGCGGCTGGCGCTGGGGCGGACCGTCCCCCGCGCCTGGCGCCTCCTCCACCTCGGTCTTCACCTCGAAGGACCGCGGCGGCGCCCCCCCGCTCTTGGGCTTCAGGACGGCCTCACGCTTCACGATGTCGGCCTTCGGGGGGGCGCCGCCCGTCTTGGGTTTCAAGACGGCCTCCTCCTCCTGTCCCCTGCGCCCGCGATCGCGAGGCGCATCGCGCTCGCGATCGCGGCGCCTCGCGCGCGAGGGCGAGCGCAAGGGCGCAGGGCGCCTCTCGCGCTTGCGGACTTCTTCGGCGAGGCGCTCCTGGCCCGGCGACCGCGCGGGCCGCGGGCGCGCCTTTGGAGCGCCTTTGCTCTGGCGCCGCGCGGCAGCCTGGATGGCCGCACGCGCCAGCGCCGCGGTGACCGCGTCCTCCTCCGCCTCGAGGACCGGGGCTGGGGTCGACTTCCCCTCGCCCCTGCTCGAGGCGTCGTCGTCGGTGAGCTCCACGACCGCCTCCGCGTCCACTGTGCGCATCATGTCGAGCAGCCCCTTGTTGTGCTTGCAGAGCTCGCGGAGCTCCGGCATGGGCTGCCCCTGGAACTGGGCCAAGGCGAGCGCCAGCTTGGCCGCCTGGCGCTGGACCTTGATATTCGGCCCCGCGCCCACCCCCCACGCACCCCGCTTGCCGTCGACGATCACCAGCTGGCCGTGGTCCTCGCTCGCCCCCGCGGCCAAGCAAGCCGCCGCGATGCACGGGGCTGCTTCGTGGTCGTGGTTGACCACCTCGACGAGGTCCTCGCTGTCCAGCTCGTTCACCACCGTGTACAGGATGTTGTGGGCGGCACTCCGGAGCTCGTCCGACAGCGCGGCCCCCGAGACGACGACGCCGAGGGGGTTCACCGCCATGATGCTGTAGTCATGGCCACGCGCCTTGCTCTGGTCCGGGGCCACCAGGCCCACCAGGAATCCCATGATGCACGCTGCCGGAGCGCGGGGCGACGGCGCGGCTGGCGCGCGGGGCTGGGGTGCGCGCGCTGCTCGCGCGCCTCGCTCTGGAGTGGGAGATGGCTGCGGATGAGAGGACCAAGAGGAGGTGGGCGTGCCTGGGGCGATCGGGAGCGGTAGCGAAAGGGGGGTCGAGGGCGAGAGGTCCACCGGGATACCCCCACAACGCGAAGCCCCCGCCCTGACCTGAATACCCGTGGGACCCGCCTGCTGCTTTCCCACACGCCCATTAACTCCTCGCCCTGGCTCGTATCTCACCAATTCCTCCTCTCCTTCCCCCTCCGTAGTTGACCCTGCTCGCGCCGAAGGGCGCGCCCAGGGGGGGCGCCCGGGCGCCCAGGCCGGGCGTTCCGAGGGCCTCAGATCGCTCCCAAACTGGGGCGGGTCGCTCCCGGCCAACTGGTCGGGGCGGGCGCCGGTCACGGCGCCGTCGTCACCGCGGGCGTCCGGGGCCAATAAGGCGTGGCCCTCCGCCATGCCTCGGGCGAATGGAGCCTGACGCCGATGGTCCTCCCAGAGGTATCCGTGGAAGGCGTCCGTGGACCACCTCCCGAACCTCTTGACCGCTTCCAGGTCGCGACAGGCGTGGTACAACGCCGTCGCGCCCCCGATGCGCAGGGAGTGGGATCCCATCTGGCCTGCGTCCACGCCGCAGGCGGCAGCCGCGAGTTGGAGGAGCCCCTGCACCTCCTCCCGCATAATCGGGTGGCCATCGGGCCGGCGGAACAGGGGGAGCCCCGCCTCGGTTCCTCGTCCAAACCGGTCCGGCAGCTCCCTCTGGAGGTCGGCGAGTGCGTCCACGACACACAACTCCACCCCCGAACGGTAATGGTTGCGTACGCAACCTGCGTTAAACTGGTCCGTCTTGGACGACGTGATCGTCAGTACTACCTCATCGCAGTC